TCACCTCCTTCCTTGAGGGATAATGAATGATATTATGAAAAATTTCAGCCTTTTGTTTCATGTCTCTTATGTGTTGTGAGAGAGAACTTTGGAGAGATTGAAGTCCCGAGGTGAGGGCATCGCAATACCCACCAACTGCAGAAAGAGTCCGGGTTTGTGGTCGACGACGTTGTTCTCCATCCTCCCTCCCTTCCCCTTCCACCGCCAGCCAAAGCCCCTCCTCCCTCTCCCGGCCGAACCCCTACCCACCCCTTCTAGCTGTCGGCCAACCCTAACCCCACCCCCCTCTCTCAGTCAAACCCCACCACCACTACAATCCAACCGGCCACTCCCTCCCACCTCCACGCCACCAACCCCAACCTAACCCTAACCCTAGCCACCGCCCTCCTTGCCCCCTTGCCTCCAAATTCATATCTTCCATCATTACTTTCCTTTCTATATATAAACTCCTTTGGAAAGTCTTGATTCAAATATTCAATCATTTTTTAATTTCGAAATCATTCCTAAAATAGACAATCTATTTTAGGAATGTTACTTAAATCAAGTTCAATCAAATTTCAAATTGGATGTGATTTAAACAATTATTCCCAATTGGATATTCTTATTAAGGCAATCATTAGATCCCCTTCCTAAGCCCCTCTCCCTCCAAGCATGCCGCCAGCCTACCCCTCTCTCCTCTCTAAATCCTGCATCATTATTAGTCCCAATTAATTCCCCATTAAAGCAGAAATCAAATTCCAGATTTGGGATATTTTCTTCCATCAACACCATCTCCTGGAAATAGAATCCCTAACCTAACCTCCCCATATGGTATGGCCCCTCTCTCTCTATCCTCTATCTTTCCAAAAGCTCATCCCAAACCTTCCTATTGGCTGAAACTCCTCTCCCAGATTTCCCTGTTGCTGTTTGAGAATTGCAGCAAACCCTTCTCATATCCCACCATCCAAGAAAGCTACGCTTGCTGTCCAAAGGTTTCAATTTGTTGTCCAAGGAATCCAAACCCAGTTAGCTTGCAGTCCACCATCCAGAAATTGTCAAAGTGCTGTCAAAAGACAGCTAGGAAGTTTGTGTTGCTGTCCACTTTTTCTCAAACATCCAAACGACCACACCAGAGCTTCGTATCTTCTTTCCTTTGGGTAAACTCTTCATCCAGCTCTTATATCCTCTTAGTTGTTTTTCAATTGTGGTCTTATTTGATTCCTAAGGATAGTGCTAATATTCCTCCGCTAAAGCCTAGTGATTTAGAGAATTGATGAATCTTTTCACAGCGACTAATCTTATTGTTAGTGTAGGAATTTCTCGTTGGAAATCTTTCATGTACGTTATGTTTTGAACCATTGATTATTTTGCGATCGTAATCTCTAGTCGTGTGACTTGGCCTATGCTAATATCATCTCTATCTTGTTTTATTTTCTCGTTTAATCACTACAAATATTTTAGTTAATAAAGCTCTCTAAATTAAATCGTGCAAGATTCTTACCTAAAATTTCTTAGACATTTTAGTCCTGCATCAATATATATGTATAGACAGATAATGATTAAAATTATACATTGACTCTTTATGAAAGACAAATGATCCTCAACTATATCAAAAGACTATTTTGGTCCTTCAACTCTTTAAAGATGAACCAAATTAGTTAAACCATAAGACTATTTTGGTTCATTTTTAAGGACTTGAGGGACAAAAATGGTCGTTCAGTATGGTTGGAGACCATTTTGGTTGGAGACCATTTTGGTCCTTCATAAAGAGTTGAGGAATTATTTGATCATTCTCTCTCTAATGCAGGATTTAAATGCCTAGGGGATGTTAATTAGGATTTTACACCTTTAGTTTAGAGAACAATATTAATTAAGACTTGTAGTGATTTAAACGATCAAATAAAACAAGAGAGCGATGAAATAAGCTTAGGTCAAGTCACATGCATAAAAGTTAAGATCAAAAAATAATCAATTATTCTAATGTTGCATACATGGACAATTTTTAACAATAAATAAAACAAGAGAGCGATGAAATAATCTTAGGTCAAGTCACATGCATAAAAGTTAAGATAAAAAAATAATCAATTATTCTAATGTTGCATACATGGACGATTTTTAACGATAAACCCCTATATTAACAATGAGACTAATTACTATGAAAGAAAGATCCCTCACTCAACTTTCTAAACTACTAAGTTTTAGCGGAGGAAATTAGCACTATCTTTATGAATAAATTAAAGCCACAATTAGGAGTAACTAGGAGGATATAAGTGTTGGCGGAAGTATTTATCTAACAGAAGAAGATACGAAGCTCCGGTGTGGTCGTTTGGATGCTGAGACGAAGTGGACAGCAACCCGACTTCCTAGCTAACTTTGGACAGTACTTGGGCAACTTCTGGATGGTGAACAACAAACTAGATTGTGTTGGAGTCTTTGGACAGCAATCGAAGATCTCTTCAATCGGCTGGACAGCAAGGAGGAATGTTGGATTTCCTGGACAGCGCCTGGTTTATTACTGGACAGCAATTGGGAGCTGTTTTGGACAACAACTGTTGATCTTGAAACTCTGGATAGCAGTTGTTAACAGATCTAGGAGGCTAGGGTTTGATGTGGACTGCTAATGAGAAGAGATATCTCTTAGTGGACTAGGGGAATCAATTGGGGAAGGTAAAGAGGATATTGATTCAATAAAAGAGGGGAGGAGGTAGCTAGGGCCGACGACATGGTCAGTTGGAGTAGGGTTAGGGAGGGTGAATTTAAAGCTTGCCTAATCAAGTACCTTTAATTGAGGAGGATTTAAATCAAATCCAATTTGAAATTGATTTTGAATTGATAAGGAATTTTCCTAAAATAGATAATCTATTTTATGAAGTATTTCAAAATTCAAATTTGATTGAATAATTGAAATCAAAGCTTTCCAAATGTGATTGGGTAGAGAAAATAAAGTAATAATGAGAGGTTTGAATTGTGGAGGCAAGAGAAGGGGCAAGGGGGGTGGCGACTAGGGCTAGGGTTAGGTTGGGGTTGGTGGTTTAGGATTGGGAGAAGGGTGGCCGGTTGGGTGTAGTGGTGGTGGGGTTTGGGAGAGAGGGGAGGAGGAATTAGGGGTGGCCGGCGGCTAGAATGGGAGGGGTTTCCTTTGAGGCCGACGGCTTGGAAGGAGGAGAGGTGGCAGTGGGGGAGGCTTGGCCAATTTGTGGAGGTGAGATGGCCGGCGATGGGAGGAGGGAGGGAAGAAGAAAAGGAAACAAAGGTGACAACGAGCCTGGACGCTTCTTGCGACTGGTGGGTGATATGATTCCCTCTCCTAGGGTTCTCTCCAAACTCTCCTTCTCTCAACACATAAGAGACAAGAAATAAAAACTGAAATTTTGATAATAATCTTCATTAACCCTCAAAGGAGGGGAGGGCTTTAATAGCCCAAACAATAAATAAAATACAAAAGACTCAATTGCCCCTATGGCATACACATGATTAGGCTCTTAAACGAAGGCATAAATGAAAAGTACAATAAACTCATGAAACATAATAAAATAATAAATCTAATACAAAGATAATCAAAAGTAGAACGGTGCGATCATGGCCGTAGATCATCAGCCCCGCCTCTATGATGCAATCAAAAGATCGCAAAATTCATACAAACTAGGATATCCTTGTAAAATAAGACAATAGACAAATACCACACTTAAACAAAACAAAATACAACTTTCATAGGAAAAAGACGACACTTACAAACTTAGAACATATAAACACCTAAACTTGCTTTTACATCGCTTGAAAAGAAAGATACAAGTAGTGTGGAACTTGCGGAGAGAAGAAAGCGGTAAGAAGCCCGAGACAAAGTCGAATAGAGGACAAGCTCGCAAGCTTTCCCAAAAAGAAGAGAAGTGGAACAAGCTCGCAAGCTTTTCCAAGAAGAAAACCCGCAGGTTTTGGCTCCAAAAATTTATCACATAATCTCCTTTTTTTTATCAACAAGACAACCCATATTTATACATAAAAAGAGGTAGCTAAACATCCCAAAACCACCTCCAACCGAACCAACCAAAACAGGGAAAAAAAGGTCAGTAGGCGGTCCAGGAGCAGCAGCCGAAGGGCCACACAGGGAACCGAAACAGGCAGCCATGGGAGAAGGAACGGGCGTCCACAGGGAACTAGAACAGGCAGCCACGAGGAGAGGAAGAACAACCAAAGGAAGGGGAGCCATGCGGGGGGAACCGAAAGGCCAGCAAAGAGGGGAAAAGGAGGGGGGAATGAACATAAATTTAGCATTAATATTGTATTAAAAAAGATGGAAGGGCTGACTTAAAATTGAAATAGCTCGAAATTCTGAATACAACTAACTTTTTCTTTAAAGAACTTGTTTCAATCTTACGTGTAGTGGAAAGAGTTTCAATTGCATGAAAAATAGCATCCCTGGTCTATTTGTACAGCTCATGGTAATGTCGTCTTAATGCTGCAATCTATTAAATACGTTGAAGGATGAATAAACTGATACCATCTTCATGATGATCAATGTATGATAGGTTCACCGCTACTTTTCTAGATTTAATCTATTTCTTAGAATTTTACCTTTTTCCCTTTAGTTATTCCTGGATTTCCCATAATTTCGGTTAAATAGCATTTGCATTTGTGAATTTGTGAGTAAGCTCACTTGAGTGCATGTGAATTTTAGAAAACATTAAGATCTACATTCTAGGTTGTTTGTATCACTTTTAAGGTTTCCACAATGGTTTCCATACAATATTATTATCTTATTTGGTTTTGGGATCCTTTTTCTTCCATAATAAGATTGTACATAGAAAATAGAATATACTATTTTCCATGCAAGACAACATGAGGTCCAAGTCACTAGTGAAAGAAACAAGGACACTCATCATCAATTGCATTATGTGCATCAGTTTAGATCGCAATCATCTTAAGTAGCATTTAAGCATGATAAGTGATTTTGCAATGTTGTTCAATAAATAATTACATTCTTCATAGATTAGCGAGAAGAAATAAAACCATTTCATACTCAACTTTGAATATGGATGCTGCCCGTCATAAGGGACAACAACTTCGGTCACAACTGGCTTTCCGATAGTTAGTGTCCCAGTCTTGTCAAATACAACGGTGTCAGCTTGTGCAAACTTCTCTAGTACATTTCCACCTCGTAAAAGTAAACCTCTTGTTGCACCAAGTGAAGTACCAACCTGGCATAAAATTTAAAAGGTTAAAATGGTATGAATGCCAATTTTAACGAGGAATGTATTCCCAATCAAGACTAAACAAGATCTCCGAACACTACCAAGACAGCAGTAGGTGTAGCTAGTCCAAGTGCGCAAGGACATGCAATTACCTGCACTCAATGATGAAATGAACTTCGTTGGAAAATGATCAATAAAAATTTTCTCAATTTAATGACCAGAAAATACTAAGCCGAAACTTATGATTGAAACTATGCATAATTTTATGACATCTGATATGTGAATAGACAAAATAAAAGGCCTTTTCCTATCCATCTAAATAAGCATAGAAGTTCTTTTACCACATCCAAGGTAGGTTTCTTGGCAATATTGCAAGCTACAACTTAAAGGTCAATTTGAAGTTTTTTCCTACATCAGGTGCTCAATTTATCAGAAAAAAAAAAAAAAAAAACTGACAACGCTATGATAACTGCTTAAAAGTCAGAACACTACAAAAATGAAGACAATCAAACAAGATACAATAAGTTGTTCCAAAATTTTTCAGAAATCAGATCAGTTCACCATCTAAGAAAAACTGAAACTTTATGACAGAAAGCAGCTACTCAAAGCAATAAGACAACAGATCTATGATTTGGACAGTAAGCATGCAGGTGACATACCAGAACACTACATGAAAGTTGTAACGCCAAAGAAATCGGACTCCGCTGGATAACAGTTGGCATTAATTGTGAACCAAATAAACTCCAAAATATAAATGTCGCAGCTGAAACAGCCATCACACCATACGTAAAATGTCCAGCAACCTATCAAAAACCTTAGAAATGATTTTCATCTAATAGGAATTCAGCATGGAAAAACAAAATTGCCATACAGTAATAGCATATCACCACCGCAGATAAAAAAAATAAAAAAAAAAAATATCACCACCGCAGATAAGAAGATTATCTATAAACTAAAAAGGCAGCCAACAGATTTCGAAAGAAAATTTCCTAGCAGCTTTAATCATGTACAACCCTAACTTTTCCTTTGTCAAAATGACATCTAAATTTAAAAGGAAAGAGGCAGAGTTGAATAAAAAATAGCTAATTAATGCCAATTCTGCACCCAAAAGGGCTTTAAAAGTAGATAGTATAGCATAAGCACTGAACAATACGAAGAGTGAATTACATCAAAGTGGTGCACTATTTGTGATCATACTGATTGAACTCGGATGGCTATAAACATGATGGGGGACAGTGGAAAAAATGTTAACAGTGATTATATGGTTAATAATAAAAAAACCGGCAAAAGAAAAATTGAGATGACAACTGAAAAATGCGCTCATTCATTTAGACTGAATTGTGATTGGAACACAACAATAAGCCTTACAGCTTAGTAATTACACATTTGAAGTGCTTGAATCAGTCTAAAAATAGCAAAAGCAAACAAACTCGAGTTTTTTCTTTTAACTTAAATTTCTGTAGACATTTTATAGCGGTCATGTGATTCCTATTTTTAAGCAAAAGAATTGATAACTCTGCAAATGTCATAATACATTAATAACCAATACTTCAATTAACTAGTATATATAAACATGAATAACATCACTTGCATTATTGATATTCCAACACTAATTCTAAGAACAAGAAATGAATTAGCAGGAAGATGAGACTTTCCAGGATGGGCAGAACAACAATGAGACAATTATGATTTTTTTAGGGGAGAAGAGGATAACTGATGTGAAACAACATGCGCAGGAGCTCATTAAGAAATTTAAGAATAAAATGGCAATACGAAGAGCTATTAACCAACAATCCACAATTTAATAATTAGAGTTTTCACCTCGGGGATTGATCACTCATCTACACTAGGCTTTGGCGAGAGAAGATTATCCACATTAGAATCGAGGTCACTCCGAGGAAGAAGGAACCTAGGATCGTCGTTCTTGGATAGGTGGCCGGAGTGGTGGAGGATGATTGTCGTCCAATGATGATCCAACGACCCTTTGACCTTTGCTCGTCGATCACGTCAACTAAGGTGTAATGGATACGGTCGATGTATTCTTCAATGGTGTCGTCGAAATCAAAGCCCACGTCAAAGAATGGTGATTGGATGATGTCGACTTGATCTCGATCGTCACGCACAAATCCAAAATTCCATTCGGGTTCCGCCATGCATTCTCGCCAAGGGTTGAAGGAGTACCCAAGGGAAACAGAGGTGGACGGTCTTGGGGAGATGGAGGTGAGAGGGCAAGGAGATGTTATTTGGTGGTGGGGGGTGGGGGTGGGGATAATTTTCAGGTTCCAATTAGAGGAGAGAGGGAATACTTCATTTCAAATCTCAGATTTGAAATCTGAAATAAAACTGAAATTGCGTTTGAGAGGGGAGGTAATTAAGAGGTGATGAGGTGGCAATTAGAGAGAAGCAATGGGGGTGAGGTGGCCGGCCATAAGGAGAGAGAAAGGAGCTTGTTAATGAATAAAATGGGGCCCGTAATTAATGACAGATTTTAATCAAAAATCTGAACGGAAATTTAGGGGTTAGGGGGGAGATTCAATGCTTTCCAAATAAGTGAAATCAAGTAAGAGGGAAACTAATAGCTCCACACCCAATGAAATTTGAATTGGATTCAAATCTAAAATCTTTCCTTATTTGGAATTTTGCAAATATGGAAAGTTTTTTAATTTCAAATTTTGAAATTCAAAAAATCAGTAACTCCTTTATTTATTGCTAGGCCACAATCAAGGAGTCATTATGATAATTGACATCTTCATCATGGCTTGGGGCAAGGTGGTGGCCGGAGGAAGCCTTAGGTGGTCAACGGCAACGAGGAGGAGGGAGAGGGGTTAGGGGGGAGATTCAATGCTTTCCAAATAAGTGAAATCAAGTAAGAGGGAAACTAATAGCTCCACACCCAATGAAATTTGAATTGGATTCAAATCTAAAATCTTTCCTTATTTGGAATTTTGCAAATATGGAAAGTTTTTGAATTTCAAATTTTGAAATTCAAAAAATCAGTAACTCCTTTATTTATTGCTAGGCCACAATCAAGGAGCCATTATGATGATTGACATCTTTATCATGGCTTGGGGCAAGGTGGTGGCTGGCGGCCAAAGGATGAAGAGGGGGCTTGCCGTCGGGTTTGGGGGTTTCTTGATGGAGCTTGGGTTGTAGTGGAGGAAGCTAGTGGATAAAGCGGTGGATGAATGGATCTAGGGTAGGGCTTGGCGTGGGGAGGAGGAAAACAAGAGTCGAAGAAGAAAACAATAAGATTAAATAAACCACGAGTCGAGGACAACGACTGGCGGGTATTGCTTTTGCCCTCACCTTGGGCTTTCCATAGAACTTACACAGAGATCTAGGAGAGTTGAACTCACCAAGAGATCAAGAACATATGAACTCACAAAGAGAACACAAAGAGAAGAATTTCATTTTCAATAATCATCATCCCCTCTCCAAGAGGAGGGAGAAGGCTTAAATAGCCAAATATATGAAGAAAAATAAAAAGACACAATTGCCCTTCAGGCAAACACATGACGAGGCCCTTAAGCAAGGGCATAAATGAAAAGAAATACAAACGACTCATAAAACATATAATAATATATATCAAATACAATAATAATCAAAAGTAGATCGTGGTCGTAGATCAATGATCTTCTAATGTCCTCATCAATAACTGTTCGGCTATTTAAATGAGTTGTTATTTTTTTCACGGAAAGAGTCATTACTCATTACATACGAATAGATGCGACGAATGCCAATGGGAATATGAAGTTTCTCAGAATCAAGTATGGAAATGTCCCATAAGTAATCAATGATGGGAATATGCCACATATTGAAATTGATAGGAAACACTTGGATTTCCAAGTGTTTCTCACCAAAACCAAATAGATCTTAGGAGAAAACTGCTGTCCACAGCAGAAAACAGCCAAAGAACAGTGAAAAAACTGAGAGAAATTTGGGAGAAAACGTAGGAATACGATGCAAACACTTTTATTTCGATAACGGATAAAAAGCACTTGCAAGATACAACTTTCCTTCGATTCGAGAGGAAGGAAAAACTCTCCAAATCTCTAGCCGTAGCCTAGAGCCCAAGAACAAAAACCCTAGATCTCAAAAATGATTCAAATTAAAGATAACCCCCTCTTCCCCCTATTCCTCCTAATTAAACATGAAAGGAGGATTACAATTTACCTAATTACCTTCTCATTCAAAAATTCCCTCCCAAAACTCAAAATACAACAAGTGGGCCCCCCTAGGAGTTTCCGCCCAGCCCCTGGCTGGTTTTCTTCCGCCGGGCGTAAGCCCTGACCGGTCCAGGGTGGACCGGTCCAGCCGGCCCAGGATGGGCCGGCGTAACAGAAATTCATCATTAGATAATTAATACAATATATTTAATATGAATAGAATTACATTTATTAATGAATTATAATTAAAATAATTGAAATGAAAGATTAGGATTTAATTTGAGTAATTAAAATAGATGGTTGAGATTCTATTTGGATGGAAACTCAAGCTCCTTTATAATAGTAGTATAGATATTGTACCCAATAACATCTCTTAGTATTTGATTGCTTCAATTCAAGCATGATGATTGAAAGAATTAGCCAAAGATCACGAAAGTGCCTTCAATGGCATGGTCACTCAAGTCAAATTGGTTGTTTCATTACAGCATTAGCACCGTACCTTCAGAAATGACGCATTAATGCTAACATTAGACACAACCAGTATGTAACATAGACATGGTGAAAACAAATTTATGACAAATATTAAAAATTTATATTTCATGAATCTCATGCATGCCGAAATATACTACCATCATATGGATTTAATCCCTTGATCTAGGATGATCTCAAACATACCTTAGAAAATCTCCAATATCTCTTTTACTTTAAGATGAAATAATTAGCCCAAGGATTTTCGAAAGACCATCCTTTTTTTACTTGAACACAAATTGTGATGCATCAATTGGAGTCAGAAGGACTTTTAGAGAAAGATATAAGCCCAAATATCCTGTAAATTTGGGACCAATAATACTATTATTTGAATTTTTGACCTACGTCTAAGTGATACTTATACATTACAAAAACTTGGGGTCAGTCTATAAGATTTAGAATATTTTAGTTTCTTTCATTTTTATACCGTTTTGTTTTCCTTAAATTTTGGACGTTGACGTTGATTCCACAATTGATGTCTTAAATTTTGGACAAGAGCTTTATTTTAATATAAGCACTATTTCCATATGTTCATAGCAATTTTAGAAAAGGTTTAATTTAAATCTAGTTATCCTAATCCTACTCATATATGTCAATGGAGCAAAATAATGAGAGCTATGAAGTACAGAGTAGCATGGCGAACCTACGATGCTATTTGGTTGGTGTGACGCAGGTGTTAAAAATAATGTGCACGATTGTTTTAACATTTTATAAAATAAAAAATATAAATAATAATTAAATTTATTAGGTTTATATATTAATATTACAATTAATTATAAATTAATTAAATATAAAAAATTATTTAATCCCTAATATCTAAATAAAAACCTAAGTTAATATGATTAATTTGATCTTCTTAAAGCTTGAAAGTCCTAGGAACATCTGAGGTTTGCTTTTCTTGTCCCTATTTCTTCATTGTTGCTTCAGCTTCACATGCTTCGTGTGAAGTAGAGTTTTGAAAGAGTCACACAAGGAAAATTCTTCGCCTCCTTCGACTCTTCGCCTCCTTCGACAATGATGTTGTTCCAATCAAATTGAAAGTCACGACGAGAGCTCGTCGTGAAGATAGAGTTCTTTCTTCCCTTTCGTGCGCCTCTTCGGCTAAATTT